AAGAGGCCACTGCTCCACCCATATGGGAGCTTTAGTGCCCCACATTAGTTTGATGGGGGGCGGCTTGGGCAGTGGAGCAGTGGCCGTTAGAATTGGGGGTGGGGGGCATTACCTAACTGCTGATCTACAATGTGGTCGTCATAAAAGGCTTTGTCATCTGTAGTTAAAACATCTTCCATGTTGCGAAGGATATCTCTCCCCCACAAATTATGGGGAAGCCCCGTGGCTAAGCGCGATCTAACAGCTCCTGTGTTGCTGCTCAGATCAGACCAGATGTTGGACCTGTTGGGTGTTCTGTAAACCCCCAACTCCTTGTATAGGGGGTCCAGGTTTGCAGTGCCAATGTGACAATGCTTCCTCTTGTCTGATTACAGTAATATCAGCCCCTGTATCAATTAGGCCTTTCAACTTATGGCCATCTAGGGAAAGTTGCATCCTAGGCTTAAGCAAATCAATAGGTATCATCCAATGGATGTGGGGGGTATATTCCCTTACTTCCTCTCTTTGGGGCAGGGCTGAGAGGCACCCTGTTGCCCATTTAAAGGCATCTTTTGTATGGGTTTACCATCTGCATCCACCTTAAACCTGCATTCTCTTGCCCAATGAAAGCCTTTGCAGCATCTCAGGCATTTTGAATGGGGAACCTGGCTCCTTTTGGCCTCTTTCATAATCTTATTAGGACCGGTACATGACCAATGGCCCTGTCCCCTGGAGGACCAACATTTGCCTCTGTCCATCTCGACCTGTGGCTGATGAGTAGCCAGTGCCTCAGCAAGGGCCGCAGCATGGGCCCGAGCGGTCCCCACATTTTGGCAGGCCAGAATCCACAGAGACATCCTCGTGTCTAACGAGTCCTATGTCAAGGCGACACTCAGTAGAGCAGCCTTCATATACAAGATCCTTGAGCAAGGCATCGGCAGCTCCCTGATGACTGATCTTTCTATTCAAACTTTGTTCGCATCTCTCAACAAAATCAGAGAAAGATTCACCTGGTTTTTGATATGGGACAGTTTTGGAGGGTCTAAACTATTCTAGAGGATTTAGCTAGTCTGAGTTAGGAAGGTAATCCAGAGTTCCGAGGCAAAGGAGCCAGAAGTGGGCTAGCAGGCAGACAGGTAGCAGGGCTAGCTTGGGCTCCTCTCATAACCTAAACATTTAGCCTTAGTCCCTCATAATTCGTCCTTACCTTTGATCCAGAACGTGTGCGTGCGTGCGTGTGTATATTATGAATAGTGAGTGCTGCAAACAATACTTGTTGAAAGCAATGGAGTAACCCATTTGTGTTGCAAACAACAGGTGGGGTTAAACAGATGTCAATTTAGGTTTTTTGAGGATGTTTGAGCTATTTCAGGTCAGTAGAGGTCATATAGGGAAAGTCTCTGCTTTTCTTCCCCATTTCATTCTGGATGTATTATTTCAATAAAGAGCCCAAGGCCTTTGTTCTGCTACACAGTTATGGGAGAAACCTGAAGGAACAAGTTCTCAGCACAGTTCAGACCCCACTCTTGGTTGTAACAGATGCGAAGAGCCAGGCTGTGTGTGTTCAGGCACTGCTCTAACATGGCATCGCACCACTGTCTTGACCTTGTGTGCATTCTGTACTCATTACTTACTAAAACTGTCGATGTGTGCCTTTCTCTGGTTCTTCACGACTCCTACTGTGGCTGTACTCATTGTCCTTTTCTTGGCTTCGTTGCTTGGCCATATAATCTCTATATTTATAAGCTTCTACGTAAAAGCCTTGAGCTCTGGCAACTTCACCATACTCAAGGTTACTTCCTAGACTTCTACTCTTCTTACCTGTTGCTCTACTTATTGTCTTTATAAGTGCATACCAACTGATCACTGTCCAGGACAATGTCAGAGGGTGTTCGGTTTTTATTTCCTAGTAATTTTAGTTTCAGGGTTTAAAAGAAAACCTCTGTGTACATGTGTGTATTTGTGTATGGTGTGTGCACACATGTGCATGCGGGTATGTGGAGGTCAGAAGTCAACTTGTTAGACTTTTCGGCTCTTGTCTTCCACCTTGTTCGGAGGCAGAGTCTCTTGCTGCTTCTGCCACCATGCTGCTACTTCAGCTTCTGGGTGACTCTCCCATCTTACCTTAAGAGTGTTGGGATTACAGATGCAAATTGTAGTGTGTTCCAGGAATCAGAATTCACGTCATCTTCCATGGTAAGTGCTTTTACCCACTGAGTCATGTATCCAGCCCAGTTTCTGGTTCTGACATTTAAGTCCATTGTATTTTGAGCTGGTTTCTGCATATAGAGGAAGCAGGGACTCTTCTCATTCTACATGTGGATATCCAGTTTTCCTAACACCACTTACTGAGGAGACTGCTCTTACTAAATGTATGTTCTCATGCTTTTAGAACATCACTTGGATGTAGGCTCAGGGACTTTTGTGGAAGAGGTTGGTGGAAAGAATGTAAAGAGCTAGAGGAAGAGGTGGAGTGTTAACTGGAAATGTCCCTTGACCACTATGCAGGCAAGCTATAGTCACACCTCCTTCCCACGCTCATCAAGGAGTCAAGGGGGGAGTCAGTTACCTCTCCCACCCAATCAGTTGACCTTAGCTGCATGTGGTGGGAGGGGAAAGGATATATAAGCCAAGAACAGCAAGAGGCACCTCTCACAATTTTGTGTGACAGTTGGGAGGTCACAGGTTCTGTATTTGAGTGTGGAATTTATGATGCAGCCATAAATGTGGGGTGCCCTCTCTTCTGTAACTAAACCCCTACCCTATGCTCTGTTAAAAAATAAAAATAAATTATATATATGTGGCTGTGAGTGCATGAGTCTCTACTTCAGGGTTTCTATTTTATTCTCTTGGTCTCTGTGCCCATTTTTATGTCAATACCATGCAGTTTTGATTACCATAGTTTTACAGTATATTTTGAAGTTCACTAGTTTTATACCTCTAGCTCTCTTCTTTTGTTCATGATTGCTTAGGCGATTATACATTTTTTTGTGGTTCTATTTTAGTGAAGAATGGCATAGATATTTCAACAGCATTAAATACGTAGATAACTTTAGATAGTACAAACATTTTAACATATTCTTTGAATACATGAACATAGTATGTATTTTCATTTGTGTTCTCAACTCCTTTGTCAATGCTTTATAGTTTTTATTGCAGAGATTACTTCCTTGGTTAAATTTAATTCCTAGGTATTGTACTTTATTGCTACCATATGTGGGATTGGCAAATGATTTGAATAGCTGTGTCAAAAGACAGACAAATGGGGTCAGGCATGGTGGTGCACAACTTTAATTCAAGCACTCGGAAGGCAAAGGCAGGCAGATCTCTATGAGATTGAAGCCAGCTTGAGCTACATAGTGAGTTCCAGGCTATCTGGGGCTACAGGGAGACCATGTCTCAAAAACAAAAACAAAAGCAAAGGGGCAGGAGAGACAGCTCAGCAGTTAAGAGCATTGGTTGCTCTTGCAGAAGACCCAGGTTCAATTCTCAGAACCTACATGGTGGCTATGAATCGTCTGTACCTCCAGTTCTAGGGGAATTTGATGCCCTCTTCTGATCTCAGAGGCACTGCACAACATGAGTACACTTAAATAATACAATATACTCACACTCACATGAAATAAAAATAAATAAAATATTAAAAACAAACAAAATCCAAACCAAACCAAAAGATATACAAATGGCTAACTAGCATATGAAAAAGAAAAAGGCCCAATATCACTAACCATAAAGGCTATGCAAACCAAAACTGCAATGAGATATCTCATTGCACTTAGAATGGCTATAATACAAAAGACAAAAAATGACAAATGTTGATGAAGATATAGAGAAAAGGTAATTATTACTTTTTAATCAAATGCCTTCAGTTTCATATGAGAAATGGTAGTGGCGGCATGTTAATTGGTGTCATGATGCAGGTCTTGTTTATGCAACCATATTGTCAAGATCTCATGGGTGCAGTTCCCTGTCATGTCTGGAAGACACTAGCAGCAGGCTGGTCATCAGGCTCTTACAATCTTTCCACCCCCTCTTTTGTGATGTTCCTTGAGCCTCAGGTGTAGGGGTTGCATTACAGATGTATTAATTGGGGCTAGGCACCCAATGGTCACTTATTCTCTGTGTTTATATATTATTTTCACTGAATTCTACTAAAACAGAGATTAAGGTACACATTTAAATTAGAAAAAAAACTCTGCCAAAGGAAAATCAAAAAGAATGCTTGATGTTAAGTCACTCTGTGCAACAAGAAACTTCATCATCTTCCTGTGTGTTCATGAATTACTTTAGATTTTAGAAAGAAATGCCCAATTCCCCAACCTTACTTTCACCTCTACACCATCTTCCCCTCTCCCTGGTTTTCCAATCATAGGGGAGGTATATAAGATGTAAGTTTCAATGTCAGAATCCTTAAATTAGAGCCTTGGAATGAGTTATTCTCAAGTATTTGCAATATTTATATTAGAAAATATTTGAGAATAATTTATTCCAGGGTCAGGAATTTGCAAAGATACAATTTCATCCCAATGGAATGCATATTTTGTAGACAATGCCTTCTTAATATCTTTTAACTTGAGAAAGTATTTTTCAAGAGAGAATTTGTTTAGAGAGATATTAATTTTATCACAGGTGAGACTCTATCTGTAGAGTTGAGGATAAAGACAAAAAATTGTGGCTAGATATGGTTGTACATGCCTGTAACCCCAGCACTTGGGGAAACAGAGGCAGAAGTATCCTGAGTTTGAGGCCAGGCTAGATTACATTGTGGGACCCTGACCCAACAAAACAAAATTTTGTTTTCTGCCTTCCCAAAAGACCAAAAAATTGAAGCGTATGAATTATACTGTGCTTTTCTCAGAGAGAGAGAGAGAGAGAGAGAGAGAGAGAGAGAGAGAGAGAGGAGATAGAGAGGGAGGGAGGGAAGGAGAGAGAGAAAGAAAGAGAAAGTAGTTTTGGGAAGGGGAAGAAAAAGGAAAAGAGGGGATATAAGGGGATTCAAAAGGAGAAAAACAGAGCCAAACTGTCTTGCAGTAGCATTCTATATACTTTATTCCACCAGTTATAGCATCCACATTTGCCAAGATCAGCATTGTCTTCTTAAATCATCATTCAACTCTGTAATAAAAGTTCACATCATATATTACTAACATTTATAAGAAAATTCATGAAACTATTTGACATGTGATCAGATCAAAGCATAAATTTTCCTAACAAGACCTCCTTTGTATCACCCATAAATTTATGTGTTTTATGCTAGAGTGTTAAAATTCTGTTACACCTCAATGTAGTTTTCCTTATGAAAAAGGAGTAATCAGTAATTAGGTAAACATTACATTTTGAGATGTGAAATTTGATAACTCCCAACTATCACCTCCAATATACACAAGTTAAACCATTATACTACATGCCTACTCATCTTACATATAAAGAAACCCTTGAAGACATTACAAAAGGCAAAATTTGTTAAAAGGCCACTGCGGCTAACTTTGTTGCTGAAGTCAATATTGCAGCCACTGTCAATTTCCTGGATGTCTTGAGGTTAGAAGTTGTTTCTGCCAAGACTGATACCAAGTAAATCAACTTTGTCCACATGACTGTTAACCACTTCTTTCAAACGGCTTGTTTGGGTCAGGTTACTGGACTGCCAAGTCAGTGAAGGCTTCATAGACCTCTGTGTTGACCTGTGTAGAAATGCTTGGTTGTGTGACATTGAGATAAATGTCATACTGCTGGTCTAGGCCAAGGTAGCAGTCACTCATGAGATATAGGGTAAAGATATATCTGAAACACAAAACAGGGAGTACATGATATATTTGAGTGAGAACATCTTATCAGTGTATACAATGAACACACAACAATAAAAACCCAGAAGTAAAATGTAAGATCACAGCCACATCTTATACTTTCTTTTATTTTCTGAAGTAAAGTGTGAGTTTATTTAGAAATAGTTTTAACATAGACTTAAGCAGAAACCTTAAGAGAGGTGGGGGAAAGGAAGGTCATTAGTATATATGCTAGTGAATGAAGGCTTTTCAAGAGAAAGCACTGCCATATTTTATTATTCTGGAGCTTGAGGGTAAGAATCTGCTTACCTTCCAGGTGTTTCAGGGGTGTAGAAAGCAAGGGAAACATCATGATGGTTTCGAATATAGCCTACTCGTTTCAAAGCAATAAGCTCTTTCTTATCCACCTCTCCTAATATCAAAAACCATGCTTCATCTTTAGATTTGGGGAATCGAGGGGTGACCGCATAACACTCTTGTTTTCCCTGAAAACCAGAAAAAAAATGTTAACAATGCCTACACTTCCTACCCTGTTGGTTGTGGCTAAAAGATTATGTTGCATTACTTTAAGGCTGTAAATGTGCACAATTCCAGCATATGTATCTGGTGTGTTTTACATTTCCTCTTGCTGGTTTGGTTTTTTGAAATGTTTTTAGCTACTTTTCTTTAAGATTCCCAGAGCATAAAGAGTCACTACTTTGTGGCTATAACCACCAGAAGAACATTTGACTTAGACTAGAAAGCTCTGAATCTTGATATAAAATTTTCTTATCATCTTTAGAATTAAGTTTTATACATAAACAACCAATACTTAGGCTGGGCATGGTGATGCACGCCTTTAATCCCAGCACTTGGGAGGCAGAGGCAGGCAGATCTATCTAAGTTCAAGGCTAGCCTGGTCTACATAGTGAGTTCCAGGACAGCTGGGGCTACAGGGAATACTTAGGAAAATGAATACATGCAATAAAGACTAGACCTGAACCTCAATTTAATGAGCATTATACCATATACATATTTTTATTCTTCTGCTGAAGAAAATTCACATTAGAAAATATATATTTTAATGTGGTATAATGAAAAGATTTCCTCTCAAAAATTGCAAACAACACTCATATACAGATATCTTGAATCCACAGGGAACAAACAACAGGAAGTTGGCAAGGAGAGGGAGGAAAGGAGGGAGGGAGATGGAGGGAGGGAGACAGGGAGAGAGAGAGAGAGAGAGAGAGAGAGAGAGAACACAAGAACTATGTGTGTGGCAGCTATGCTGCCAAAAGGAAGCACAGAGATGAAGTGGGTTAAAATCAGAGACTTAAAACTACAACAATACTGGATGCATCACTGAGAAAATCTGCAGTTTAACCATACAGGAATTATGGGGTATGCATACCACTTAAATGCTGGGAAAAATAATTTCTTTAAAGTTGACTCTCAGAGCAGTGGCAAGAAGCCATTTTAAAGAGACTACCACTTGGACAGTGGCTCAGCAGCTCTAGAAGCAAAAAAGGGTCCTTCTGTGGCTCAATCTGGGACTACGCTCTGAGATATAGTCTGCAGAATACTTCTAGATTGAGGGGAAAAACTTTTGCTCAGAATTGTACAGTGTTTCTCAAGTAGAAATATAGTTTGAGGCTTAGACAAAAGTGGACTGAAAACAGGCAGGCCCTTCAACTGTGCCACATGAGGAACCAAACAGATAAGCTCTGCACCTGTGAAGAATGGCATAGGGATAGGCCCTAAACCCACGCCCATACTAGTGACTGGACTGACACTCTGCACCTGCATTTGGCTGGTATTTTACTCTTCGATGGGGGTTGGGGATTGAGCCTGGTGTTCTGAACATATGGGCTGGGTGAGAGTTTAGCTATTGAGTTAGCTCCAGTCCAGCAGGAGAAATGACACTTCAAACCACTAATATCTATTCCCACTTGAACACTGCAAATTCTTCAACTGAAAGAATACAAATGATTAAAAAAAAATCTGGACCTAATCCCAGATGTATACATTCCAAAAACAATAACAACAACAAAAACCATGAAAATTCAAGGCAATGTGATTTCTCTGAAAATTACTAAATCTACAATAATGGATTCCAAAGAGAGTGAATTAGATAAAATATCAATAAAAAAATTCAAAAGGATTATAAGAATATTCAACAAAATCAAAGACAATACAATAAATTGAACAAATTTAAAAATAGTTATTCAGCTGTTTAAGTGGAATGAAATAACAAAGTTAACAAAGAATGTGACAGAAGCATTGAGGGTCTGGAGAGAGAGTTCAGTTAGTAAATTGCTTGGCATGAGAATCTAAGTTTGAATCTCTAGCATCCATGTAAAAAGCCAGGCATGAAGTGCATACCTGTAATCTCAGAGCTGGGGAGGTAGAGATGGAAGGATCTCTAGGGCTTGCTGGTACCCAGCCTAGCCTATTTGGTAAGCTCCAGGTCCCAGTGAAAGACTTTGTTTAAAAAAATTAAAGTGGAAGGTAGATGACCCCTGAGAGAAACATATGAGGCCTCAACACACATGTACACACGTGCATAGAAGACAAGATAGAACTAGAACAATCAGACACTGACAAAGATAAAATGAGAAATCAGAAATGGGACATGTGAGATAAATTAAAAGAAAAAAATTATGAATTATATACATAGGAGAAGTTAAAGGCATAGAAAATATATTTAATAAAATCATAGCAGAAGATTTCCAAGTACAGAGAAAGAGATGGCCATGTGGATAAAGGAGGCTTTTAGTGTGCCAAAAAGGCTGGAAAAGAACTTCCTCAGGTAGTATTACAGCTAAAACATTAAGTACACAGAATGAAGAAAGACTATTGAGGCTTTAAGAGAGAAAAACCATCTCACTATAAAGGCTAAAGGTAAAAGCATCAGGAGCACAGCTGCCTTCTCAACAGAAAATTTGAAAGTCAGGAGGTGCTAGATAGCTTCAGTTTAACTTGGCACACTAGGAAGAGGGAACTTCAACTGGGTAATTTCCTCTATTAGATTGGCCTGTAAGGCATTTTCTTGATTGTTCAATGATGTAGAAGGATCCAGTCCATTGTGGTTAGTGCCACCACAGGGAAAGTTGCCTTGGGCTGTACAGGAAAGCAGGCTGGACAACTTGCAGGCCTCTCTGGCCTCTCTCCCAGGTAAGTCAATCAAGCTCTCCGCACCTTGACTCCCCCAGCATCATTCACCCTCCCATCTCCCCCGCCCATCTCCCCTCCTAGACTGGGTCCTGTCCCAGTCCTTGTCTTAAGAGTTCAAGACACCTGGGCCGGGGCAGACACCACCACTGCTTCCTGATCCCTTGCATCCAGATGGACCCAGTTCCTTCTTGAGGTCTCCAGGAGCCCTCCGGGCCTGGTCCCACCCTCACCTCCCTCTGCTTCCCTGGGCTGCACAACTCGCCAGCCTCTTTCCTGGACACTGGGGCTGACCTTTTGGCTTCCTGATCCTTTGCATCCAGACCAACCCAGTTCCTCAGTGCAGTCCCCAGGAGCCCTTGGGGCCTCACCCCCAACTCCATTTGCATCTCAGGATGGCATGGCCACCAGATGTGAGACCAGCAACTTTCCTGGGCCCTGCTCCCAGGCCAGTCCAACCCCAAATTCCTGAGGCTAAAATCTATCCAGGAGGGATACAGACCGTAGGAGAAAGCCTGAGAGCATCCGATCCTCATCTGACTTGGGCCTCTGTGGGAACTCCTGAAGACAAAAGCAATCTAGCCACTCAAATATAAAATCAAAAGAGAGAACCGGAACCATAGATGAACCAACTTTTCATGCCCAAAAAGTAAACCACAAAGGCACATGAAGTTTACAGTAACAAGCAGATCTAAACTTGAAGGCTTGAGTCTCACATAAGAATCAGAAACTATGAAAGAAATTCACATGTTAAAATCACCGAGAAAAACTAATAACATGAAAAACCAAAAAACATATGCCAACCAAATACCAATAGTCCTCTAGAGGAGTACAATGAGAACCCCCTAGAGATAATGCAGGACATGGAACTCAAAAGAACAATTATAAACATGAGAAAAGAATTCAGTGAATTTAAAGAACACAAGAAGAAATCAAAGAACTGAAGGAAGATAGGGATAAACTTCTGAATGAATTCAGAAAAGAGTTAGAAATATTGAAGAATACTCAGACTGAAATGAAGAAGGAAGTGAAATGCTCAGTAGGCCAATTAGAAACAGGAAAAAGCCTCACCAACTGGGTGAATGAAATGGAAAACAGAATATCAAGACTAGAAGATAAAGTAGACAAAAAAGACCACTCAAGCAAAGATTATGAAAAATTTAAGAAAGCACCAGATTGGAATATGGAGGAATTGTGTGACACCATAAAAAGACCAAACTTACGAATCACAGGCATACAGGAAGGAGAAGACTCCCAAGATAATGGCATGGACCAGATCCTCAACAGAACTGTAGAAGAAAATTTCCCCAAATTAAAGAAAGATATGCCCATACAAATTCAAGAAACATATAGAACACCAAAAAGGACCAGAAAAGAAACTCTCCATGGCACATCATAGTAAAAACACTAAATGTACAGAACAAAGAGACAATACTGAAAGCTGCAAAAGAGAAACAAGTCACCTATAAAGGAAAACCCATTAGGATCACAGCTGACTTTTCAGTGCAAACTATGAAAGCCAGAAGAACCTGGACCAAAGTATTCCCAGTGTTAAATGACCACAGATGCCAATCCAGATTACTATAGCCAGCCAAAATGTCTATTAGAGTTGAATGGGAAAGAAAATTCTTTCATGACATAAATAGGCTGAAGGAATTCATGTCCACAAAACCAGCCCTTCAGAGAGTTCTGGAAGCAATACAAAGAGCTGAAGAAAGGAATGACTGTACCCAAGTGGTTGTGGAAAGAAATTCAATGAAGGTACACTGGTGGAAAAATACAGATATATCAAGAATGTAAACAGAAACAAATGACAGGATTCAATACACATCTTTCATTAATAACTTTAAATATTAACGACTGGACTCCCCAATCAAAAGACACAGAATAGGTGAATGGATTAAGAAACAAAACCCATCTTTTTGTTGTCTGCAAGAAACTCATCTCAGTTTCAAGGACAGGCGCTACCTTAAAGTGAAAGGATGGAAAAAAAATACCAAGCAAATGGTACTAAGAAAAAAGCAGGCGTTGCAATTCTACTATCAAGCAAAATATACTTTAAAAGTAATCAGAAGAGATAAAGAGGGCCACTCATTCTGATAAAAGGAACAATAAACCAAGAAGACAGTACAATCATAAACATATATTCACCAAACTCTGGTTCACCCAACTTCATAAAAAAAATACTACAGGACTTTAAGACCCAGATTAACCCCAACTCATTAATAGTAGGGGACTTCAGTACCCCACTGTCTCCATGAGATAGGTCAACAGGGCAGAGAGGTAACAGAGAGACATCTGAATTAAACAATACCATATATCAAATGGACCTAGC